TTTGTACACAATATTTACTATCATCTACGCTACCATATTTGGTAAGGTGTACAGTTTGTCACGTGACCTGGTTGACCAATGGTCATTCAGCCTATAGGGATAGCCCTATTGATATTGTCTTCAGCCATTTTAAGCAGTCTCAGTATCAGCACTGTCTGTTTTTGTCCCCACCATCCACCCCTTCACCACCTTGCTTGTTCAGGTTTTATTTATTTATGTATTTTTTATATAGGTACATCATAATATTTCTTTAATACTGTATGTTTATATCTCTGATTTTTATTGTATCATGTATATTTATTTTNCAGAATGTAGCCATCTGGTAAGGCGATGCTCATGAATTTGAGATAGTTTCTCTTCTTCTGGCCACAGTAGGACATTCTCTGGAGCTTGTGGTCGGAGCTTTTCTGGATATAAATATAGGTGCCATCTAATATGGCAGTGGCTTTATCTCCAAAAAATGCTTCTGAAAAGACAGTATTGTGCCCGAGCAACTGTTCTCTTGTCAAGTGATCCGGACCTAGAAATTGTGGGACTATCGATGTGTCTAATGCCTGTACTATGGAGTGGAAAGTTTTGGACACACTTGACTTGGAAATTCCAAAAAGAGAAGAACACTGACTCCAGGAAATGTCGGTTTTCAGTTTTACCCAGAACAGTAATAGAGCATCGTGTGTAGTCTTGGTATATATACCAGATGAAAGATATGGGGAACAGTGCGAGTGGATTTCGAGGAACTGATCTTTGGACCAACCTGTCCAGGCCATGCATGCCGAGTCATCAAGAGAAGAAAAGCTTATTGTAAACGCAGACTGGTTCTGTGAAAGGACGTGCGACACCTCTAGGAGGTCATTAATGATTTCGGACGATTTTGATGGTAACTGAGATTCCAAGGAACCTCTACCATCAAGGACAACCTCTGTAGACGGATCTAAGTCGTTACCAATAAGGTGAATGGAGCAGACGCGGGATGAGGTGGGACACCACAGTTTGTGTGAATAGATCAGGTGATGTCTTGCACGTTTTGGTAAGACTGATGATTTTGTTCCATTTCTTGCAAAGGTAACAAGACAGAGACAGCATTTTTTGTGTGAAGATGATCCATTCAAAAGATCATGAAGGGTCAGCAACGGCAGGATATGGGACGGGGAGTCGTCTTCTTCCTGTATTTCCTGGTTCTGCTCAAGTTCAGGTTCAGGCTAATTTTTGTTCCGAAGATACTTCATGTAGCACTTCTGGGAAATAAGTGCTTGTTCCTTTGCTGACATCAATCCTTGTTGCACCAGCGTATCTAGGAGCCATTTATATTGTGGACTATTTACATTGCGTGCACTTCTGTTCTTATTGCCACTACGTTTCTTGAAGTATACTTGACACCCTTCTCCAACACATTTACCCTCCATCTTGAAACAATAACGATTGGTTTATGAAGCGTCGATAAAGTAACAAAATAGCAAGCCACCGATGATTGCTGTAAACAGCTAATACTTAGTAGTTTGGTACAATTATGCGAAAATGTGTGATAAATAACGAACAACTAATTACACAAAATAACAAGACAATATAATAAATCACATTCAATACCTCCAAGAAGCGCAGAATTGATTGATTACTTAGAACAAAATAAAGTATTTCATATGGATAATCTATCTATTCGATGTGGCGTGGTCGGCAGGCACAAAGAAAGTGAGACAAGTCAGGGTCCCAACCCTGACAGAGCCACAACGCTTTGGAGATGGGACAATAAAACAAGGAAAGTGAGACAAGAATAGCTAGCGTCGAGTCAATGATTCCGTAAACGTATAGACAAAGACAAGAAGATACGGATAAATGTACAAGGCCACACGATCAGAAAATTCAGAAGAGGACAACTTGAGATAGAACAGTATTCATGTATCAGGGTGTCCTCAGTGTAAATCTTTATATCGATACTGTTTATTTAGTCGTTACACATCATAAAACTGTCATGAAAATATCCGCTCTGATATTCAATATAAAAGTTTGTATATAATAAGCTATATAATAGGGTTTCAGACAAGGTTGTTACTCATTTCCCCTTTTCTTTCAATTTACAACCACATTCAGGCGGCGATATGAGAACGTTCCACCACATGGAATTAGCTGATTTTTGGTACACATATGAAACAAGTAAAGCTCTATCCGATTTTCTGATGGAAATTTGCATCCAAAACTATATAACGGGAGAAAATTGCAATTTTATGGCATTTTTCTTCATAATTGTGTCTCTGCAAGTGCATTTTCATCCGAAAATTTTTTTTTTTATGTTTTATGAATAAACACGATGTTTTGGAAATATTTATCAAAAGAAATTTATACTATGTTGCGAATTACAATTTCGAGATAACCTTCTTTTATTTACGAACTTATGTCTTTGATGCTGAAATTGACAACTTTATAAAAATACATTTTCACTGAAATTATGAAATCTGGGTGTCGGAAAGGTGTAAAATTATTCTTCGGAAAAGAAAAAAACAGTAGTTGAGCCAGATAAGAAATTATACGGGGGCAGGCTCCTATGGAGAATTAACATTACTGGAAACAGGCCCTTTAGTTAAATTCCAATCAGTGGTTAAGAAGAAGTCGTTTAAAGAAATTGTTGACGGACGGACGATGGACGACGGGCGCCACGGTATGGCATAAGCTCACTTTAAGTGCAAGTTGGGAGTCAAAGATCAATGTGGGTTAAAAGCTTTAAAATTCAAATTTCAAATTTCAAACAAAAATATCTTCAGAACTGTTTAAGAGATGTTAAAATGTCTTGTGTTCTAGTTACCAAAATTTGGTCTTAAGTTCCTATATGTCATGTAACAAAAGAAATAGGTGAGGGATACAGGCCCTCTGGACCTCTTTTTTTAATATACACAAACAAAAGTGATGTTCCACAACAAGGACACAAAGGAAAACTGTGCAAATAATTTGAAAAAGATCTGACCATCACTTTCTGAGAAAGAAGCAATTACGAGTTTGCTCCTGAAAAACAGCTGCCTCAATGTAATGTTATTATTATATCCACAAACGAGCACTACTATCAATTGGGGAATGGTAATCTGAGAAAGAGTTATCCAGTACTAAAAAGAATGATAATAAACTTTGACCCTGGAATCAAAGATAGTAAAAAAAAATCAGTCGTCTATCGTCCGTCCATCCATCAACTTTTCCTATAAAAAGCTACTAGTCCTGAACGGCCAAGTAGATTTTGACTAAATTTGTCTGGTGCATCCTTAGGCCAAGGGGACTCAATTTTGTATAAATGGTGGGTGTTGCCCCCCTGGAGACGGAGGGGTGGAGCCTAATAGGGGGAAATAGAGGTAAAACCTTTAAAATCCTCCTTCTACCGTAGGGATTACAGGATTTTATCCTAATTTAGTGGAGCATCCTTGGGCCAATGGGACTCAATTTTGTATAAATGGTGATTGTGCCCTAGGGGCAGAGGGGTGGGACCAAATAGGGGAAATAGAGGTGAAACCTTTAAAATCCTTCTTCTACCATATGGATTAAAGGATTTTATCCAAATTTAGTCTGGAGCATCCTTGGGCCAAGGGGACTCAATTTTGTATTAATGGTGATTATGGGCCCCATGGGGGCAGAGGGGCAGTGCCCAATAGGGGAAACATAGCAAATTCCTCAAAATGCTTCTTCCTCTGTAGGAATGACAGGATTTTGTCCAAATTTGGTATAAAGTACCCTTGGGTGAGGGGGAACCAATTTTGTATAAATGGTGGGTCTGACCCCCCTGGGGGCAAAGAGGCGGGGTCCAATAAAGATATAGAGGAAAAGCGTTAATATCCTTCCTCTGTTGGGATAAAGGTATTTTGACTAAATTTGAACAGTAGCATCCTATGGGGAAGGGAAATCAATTTTGTATAAATTGTGGGTTTGAACCCCCTAGGGGGCAGAGTGTCGGGGCCAAATAGGGAAAATACAACAAGAGGCCCAAGGGGCCTGCATCGCTCACCTGGTATACATCTCACACTTGTAATCTTAAAAGTGGACTAAAATACAGCTACAGGCAGAATATCGGTGTTTGATTCATAAGAACCAATTAAAAGATTTAAACATATGCCGCCTGTGACCTTGATGTGGGTTTAGGTCATTCATTTGAACAAACTTGGTAGTCCTTCATCCCAGCATGCTACAGGCCCAATTTCAGTACCCTGGGCCTATTGGTTATTGAGAAGAAGTCCTTTGAAAATTTAAAGACATCTGACCCCAGTGACCTTGAAAGTGGGTCAAGGTCATTCATTTGAACTAAATTGGTATCCCAGCATGCTACAGACCCAATATCGTTGGTTGAAGTTGTTTGAAGATTTTAACATATTTGACCCCTGTGACCGGACGCACGGACGCCGCACCACGGCATAAGCTCAAGATTATGTCCATATTTGGTGTAAAGCATCCTTGGGTGAAGGGGAGCTAATTTTGTATCAACGGTGAGTCTAATCCTTCTTGGGGCAGAGGGGCAGGGCCCAATATAGAGGTTATTTAGCAAATTCTTGAAAATTCCTCTACTCCTGTAGCCCTTCATCCCAGTTTGCTTCTGGCCAAATATCATCACCCTTGGCCTTTTTGGTTATTGAGAAGAAGTTATTTAAAGTAAAAAATTGACGCCGGACGACCGGGCAGGTGAGCTAAAAATGAACTACCCCTTACACTTGATTTTTATCAAGCATTAATATAATTGGCTAATTTTACTATACTTTGTATATAATCAGATAATTTTCCTTTAAATTTATCCTAGAAATGAGAACAATTTTACAAAGTTGTAAAACTTTATGAATGGACATCCTTAGGATAACTTTATGAATGGACATCCTTAGGATAACTTTATGAATGGACATCCTTAGGATAACTTTATGAATGGACATCCTTAGGATGTAAGGTTTTTCATGGTTCAAATGTTCTGCTGCAAATATGTAATAATTACCAGGGCAAACGTGATTAAATGCTTGAAATTTGGCAGGAATGCATAACACATTTGATGGTCTGGTTGAACATTTAATTTCAATGGAAGATTTAAAATGTCCTGTAGGCAATATGACACAGTAGATCACGTGCACGTATCCATGGAAACCACACTTGAACTTGAAATGTTTAACGAAGACTGGTCAATATTAGTAGCCATACTTGATGGAATAATCATCTGATTTGTAGAGTTTCCCTGTATTAGCTTTGTCATGATGAGGTTTTGGTTGTTGAGAGAAATGCTCACGGGAATGGTACCGGTAACAGTGGCCATTGATACCTGAGCATTATTTGAGGGAGTCCCCGTGGAAATGTTAGGTAATGTCTGAGAGACAAGACTCGATAGGGTATTGTTGGACACAGCTGTAGGGGACAGACCCTTCACTAGCTGGACAGAGTTGGTGGACGAAACATAGGAGGAAGGTGGGTTAATACGTTTCTCCTTTTGTCGTCGATTGCAGAACCACACTCTGACAACCTCCTTCTCCATGTTGAGTCCATTAGCTAGCATACTGATCTCTTCTGATGAAGGTTTGGGTGTGTTAAGAAAACTTTTTTCCAGAGCAACGCGGATCGTTGTTTCAATACTGGTGCGTTTCTTCCGTCTCCGCGACACCGACTCTGGTGTTATCACGCCTCCCGGACTGCCGGGACAAGGTGCAGCGTTGGCAGACATGGAGTCAGCATCCTTGAGCCAGGTCTGTAGGAGAGGCTTCAGTTTACACATGTTCTTAAAACTTAGGTTTAATGCCTCAAATCTGGAGATGGTGGTCTGGCTGAAGTCATTTCCATACAGCTTACCCATGGCCAGGCCAACATCACCCTGCGTGAATCCTACAAGGACAAGAGAGATGGATTTATAATTATAACTTGTATTGCAAATATTAGTATTCAAAATCCTCTTGTGGGAATATCTAAATCAAAAATGTATTCACCAAGTCTTACAGAGAAAGCTTCAAAAAAGACAACATCAGAGTGTAGCTGAAGTAAGGGATATTGATAAACCCCTCAGCTTTTCAGAAGTGTGAATTGTATTGACCTGATATTGCCTGAAATTGTAATTTACAAATATCCTACTCTATATCTAAGGCCTATTACAGTATACAGTTATAGAATGGGTATGAGGGAAATAGCATATTTATGGTCCCCTGAGGTGAAAAACTATTTCCCGAGGCGGCGAAGATCTAGTCCTATCCACTTTGTTTTAAAAGAGCTTGCATGATCCTACTCGTCGGCGCTTCGGGCATTCCGTTCTGTTAAATAAGTTTGAAGTGAATTCACTGCAGTCTTTATAACAGCTTTTGTATTAAGGTTACGTTTAGCGTCCAAAATCTGCTGTAACTCCTCTTTACAACAACAAAACGGCCTTCATCGGTGGCCATTTTCACTGTTGTCATTTGGTTCTGAAAATGTGACGTCACGAGTGTCACGGAGAAGGCCCCGCCTACCAATGTTTCCATTGGTTGAAATCTTATAAGCTCCGCCTACCAATGTTTTCATTGGTTGAAATCTTATAAGCTCCACCTACAAATATTCATGAGGGAGTAGTCCTCTTTCTGGCAGGGAGTAGTCCTTTTTTGCAGGGAGTAGCTCTCAGATGGAGATATTTTAGTGATTTAAGGGAAATAGCAGATTTTATCGTATTGTTTTTATATAGGGAAAACTCAGTTGAGGTATAATAAATGTAAATATCACCACAATTTAAGGCTATACTGGCTTAATATTCTGTAACGTGTTAAAATGTTAAAACCATGATAATTCCATCTGCAAATCTGAAATAGAATGAGTGTACCCTTTACATATTCTCGAACTGATACAATGTTACATCTGCTAAGCTCAGTATATTGTGATTTTATATTTGCAAGTTTTCGTGAATCACTACCAGAAGTCCATAATCAACGAACAAGAGGCCCAGAGGGCCTACATTGCTCACCGGTATATTTAAACAATCATGGCATATTCTAATTAAAAATAGTACATATTTCCCCATTTGAGCTCCATCCCTATGCTTTTAATGATTTTTCAAATAGCAAACCTGAATGAGTAAATGGTTATAGGGTTAATAACCACAGCAAGTATCTCCCAAGTCAGACTGATCAGCAAGGTGTGACAAAAGGACAAAATGAAAAATAAACATTCCCAACTTTTTGAAAACACATGGGACAGTTGTTGACATTTAACATTGGAGGGATATAAATATATTGTTGTCATTTAACATTGGAGGGATATAAATATATTGTTGACATTTAACATTGGAGGGGTATAAATATATTGTTGTCATTTAACATTGGAGGGATATAAATATATTGTTGACATTTAACATTGGAGGGATATAAATATATTGTTGACATTTAACATTGGAGGGATATAAATATATTGTTGACATTTAACATTGGAGGGATATAAATATATTGTTGACATTTAACATTGGAGGGATATAAATATATTGTTGACATTTAACATTGGAGGGATATAAATATATTGTTGACATTTAACATTGGAGGGATATAAATATATTGTTGACATTTAACATTGGAGGGATATAAATATATTGTTGACATTTAACATTGGAGGGATATAAATATATTGTTGACATTTAACATTGGAGGGATATAAATATATTGTTGAAATTTAACATTGGAGGGATAAAATATATTGTTGACATTTAACATTGGAGGGATATAAATATATTGTTGTCATTTAACATTGGAGGGATATAAATATATTGTTGTCATTTAACATTGGAGGGATATAAATATATTGTTGTCATTTAACATTGGAGGGATATAAATATATTGTTGACATTTAACATTGGAGGGATATAAATATATTGTTGACATTTAACATTGGAGGGATATAAATATATTGTTGTCATTTAACATTGGAGGGATATAAATATATTGTTGACATTTAACATTGGAGGGATATAAATATATTGTTGACATTTAACATTGGAGGGATATAAATATATTGTTGTCATTTAACATTGGAGGGATATAAATATATTGTTGTCATTTAACATTGGAGGGATATAAATATATTGTTGACATTTAACATTGGAGGGATATAAATATATTGTTGACATTTAACATTGGAGGGATATAAATATATTGTTGTCATTTAACATTGGAGGGATATAAATATATTGTTGTCATTTAACATTGGAGGGATATAAATATATTGTTGACATTTAACATTGGAGGGATATAAATATATTGTTGTCATTTAACATTGGAGGGATATAAATATATTGTTGTCATTTAACATTGGAGGGATATAAATATATTGTTGACATTTAACATTGGAGGGATATAAATATATTGTTGTCATTTAACATTGGAGGGATATAAATATATTGTTGACATTTAACATTGGAGGGATATAAATATATTGTTGTCATTTAACATTGGAGGGATATAAATATATTGTTGACATTTAACATTGGAGGGATAAAAATATATTGTTGTCATTTAACATTGGAGGGATATAAATATATTGATGACATTTAACATTGGAGGGATATAAATATATTGTTGTCATTTAACATTGGAGGGATATAAATATATTGTTGACATTTAACATTGGAGGGATATAAATATATTTGGTACTGCTGCATATGAAAATTCAGTTTACCCGAGAACCGAAGCAAGGACATGTTTACACTCACCAAGGACATGTTTACACTCACCAAGGACATGTTTACACTCACCAAGGACATGTTTACACTCACCAAGCTCTATCCGTCTCCTTTTAAAAGTTTTGGCAAATTGCTCTAATTCCTCCAAATCAATGTTTTCCTCCTTTATTCAAAAGAAACACAAAAACAAAAATGCAAACATTAAGATTTTGTGAGTGAATATCACTTGGGCCTTATGATTAACATCTTGCTAGTTAAAGTCATGACACTGGTATTTATAAACAAAAGGCTCAAGGGCCTTAGCGGTCACCTGAGTTATATTATAGGTACTGGTAGCTCAATTTCATTGTCCAGATGTGATGTGGAAATCAACATGTAAACTAAGTGAAATACAATACTTGTCATGTCATCAAAGGATAAGAATTTTAAAATTATTGGTAAATTTTCCCTTTCACTAGCCCCTAGTGTTGGGGTAGGAATCCCAATTTTACAATTTGAAAACCATCTTCATCCAAGGATGGTTCTCACCATGTAAGAATAATTTCCTACAGAAAATTTTCAAAATATACCCAACCAACTGTGTTATTTCCCTATATAAACTTTAGTAAACTTTACCTCCTCCCAAGGGAGAATGGATGGCCCGGGGGTCCAGAAATTTACAATTTAAATAAAGCCACTGATTATATTTTTATCCATGCACTGAAATTGACTGTAGTGACTCAGAGTCTGGAAAAGATTTTTTTTTAAATATTGGTTAATTTTCCCTTTGGGGCCCCGCCCTGGCCCCTAGGGTTGGGGTAAAGACGCACGTCAGTCTAGTGGTAGGACGCCAGACTCGTGACCGAAGGGTTGCGAGTTTGAGTCACAGCACGGCACTGTGTTGTATCTTTGAGAAAGACACATTACTCTGCTTGTTCCAGTCTACTCAGCTGTAGATGAGTACGTGGTCGGGCAGTGCCAGAATTGTAGAATGCTAGCTGTGAGCTCCGAAATGGCAGCACCGGCTGTATGCTCCACAGGGAGTTGAGAAAGATGTTAGCAGGTTGCAAAGGCCCTATAACCACGGATAATAATTTGTGAACCGCTTTGAGACGACCTACGAACTAGGTTGTGTTAAAGCATTATATAAGAACCACAAATTATTATTATTATTATTATTATTATTACTAAGAATCCCAATTTTACAATTTAAAACCATCTTCCTCCAAAGATGATTCTCACCAAGTAAGAATAAGTTCCTAAAGAAAATTCACAAAATATACCCAAAAGTGTAATTTCCCTATATAAACTATAGTAAAGTTTACCCCTCCCACAGGGAGAACGGATGGTCGGGAGGTCCTGAAATTTACAATTTAAATAAAGTCCCTGATGATCTTTCCATCCATGAACAGAAATTGACTGTACTTCTGAGTCTGGAGAAGAAGATTTTTGAAATATTGTTTAATTTTCCCTGACCTGGCCCCTAGGGTTGGGGTAGGAATACCAATTTTACAACTTTGTAGCCTCATCTACCAAGGATGATTATGACCAAGTTTGAAAAAAAATCCATCCTTTCGTTCTTAAGAAGAAGTCAAAACATAAAAAGTTTACGCACGACGGATGACTCACGACAGACAGAAATCAGAATAGGATACTTAAGCAAAGCTCAGGTGCCCTAAAAAACATTTAATCTATTATTTCTACAGAGGACATTGACAGGTCACACACAGTGAGGGACTGAGGTCACATGAATCAGCTGTAATGTTCGAGATCAAGAATATTTACTGGCTGTAGCGTAAGTGATGTAGGGCTGAGAGGCGGTGAAACGGTTGGGTCTGACTTTACGTTGACACTGAGACTGACTGTCGGGCTGACATGATTACTGAGCGATGTGTTGACAGTGTTATTGGGAAGTGTTTCCATTTTCTTCATTGTCTTCATCGTTGATGGAGATAAGAACTGGCCTTGTGAGTTGATCTGAAGTAAAATTACAAAACGTTTCTATCAGTTTGCACACACAGAAAATTGGGTGGAGAATTTACAATTACTTGAAGTTAAGAAGGGCATTGTCATTTTATTTTTCAAAACAATACTATACAGTTGGATTGCCATGAGTCTGCATGCACACCTAACACAATTCTAATGTCTGAGCATGCACACCTAATACAATTCTAACGTCTGTTTGAGCATGCACACCTAACACAATTCTAACGTATGTTTGAGCATGCACACCTAACATGATTCTAACGTCTGTTTGAGCATGCACACCTAACACAATTCTAACGAATGTTTGAGCATGCACACCTAACAGGATTCTAACGTCTGTTTGAGCATGGAAACCTAACACAATTCTAACGTCTGTATGAGCTTTAACACCTAACACAATTGTAACATCTGTTTGAGCATGCACACCTAACCCAATTCTAAAGTCTGTTTGAGCATGCACACCTAATACAATTCTAACGTCTGTTTGAGCTTTAACACCTAACTCAATTCTAACATCTGTTTGAGCATGCTCACCTAACACAATTCTAACGTCTGTTTGAGCATGCACACCTAACACAATTCTAACGTCTGTTTGAGCTTTAACACCTAACACAATTCTAACATCTGTTTGAGCATGCTCACCTAACACAATTCTATCGTCTGTTTGAGCATGCCCACCTAACACAATTCTAATGTCTGTTTGAGCAGGCACACCTAACACAATTTTAACATCTGTTTGAGAATGCACACCTAACACAATTCCAACGTCTGTTTGAGCATGGAAACCTAACACAATTCTAATGTCTGTTTGAGCCTGCACACCTAACACAATTTTAACATCTGTTTGAGAATGCACACCTAACACAATGCTAACATCTGTTTGAGCAGGCACACCTAACACAATTATAACGTCTGTTTAAGCATGCACAACTAATACAATTTTAACATCTGTTTGAGAATGCACACCTAACACAATGCTAACGTCTGTTTGAGCACGCACACCTAACACAATTTTAACATCTGTTTGAGAATGCACACCTAACACAATTATAACGTCTGTTTAAGCATGCACAACTAATACAATTTTAACATCTGTTTGAGAATGCACACCTAACACAATTCTAACGTCTGTTTGAGCATTGTGCTTCAGTACCTCACTCTTCCGAGCAAAAAAATCCCTACTGAGTGAATAATTTAAAATCTTGTTTTGGATTATTTTTCAGGACCAGAGGTTACTGTTAGTAACTTAGTATTAATTCACATTAGGAGCCTTATAAGTTGACCAATATTAGATATTTAAAGTTGAAGTGTAGATTTCAGTTACAGGTCAAATATCATTACTTATATAATATGACTCTTGGTTTTAGAGAAGAACCTTTTAAAATATTTATACACATCACATTGGACCCATTTCACCTTGAAAGTGGGGCGAGATTATTCAATGATTTTAGCTAAATATTGTTACCCTTCAATGATTTTAGCTAAATATCGTCACCCTTCGATGATTTTAGCTAAATATCGTCACCCTTCAATGATTTTAGCTAAATATCGTCACCCTTCAATGATTTTAGCTAAATATCGTCACCCTTTGAGAAGTTGTTTTGAACAATTTGGACATTTCACCACTGTGACCTTGAAACAGGATCAACATCCTTCTTTAACTGAACTTTGTAGCTCTTTATCCCAGCATGCTACTAGCCAAACATCACTACCCTTGGTCTGTTAATTGCTTAATAATTGAGAAGAAGCCTTTTAAAGATTTAAACCCATCTGACACCTGTGACATTAAAAGATAGTCAAGATCATTCATTTGAACAATCTTTGTAGCCATTTATCCAAGCATGCTTCTTGCAAAATATCTCCACCCGGGGTCATTTGGTTATTTAGAAAAAAATATTGGATTGATTTCAACACTATAAGACTTTAATGACCTTGAAAATGGGTCAAGGTCATTTATTTCATCCCAGCAAAATATCATCACCTATGGCTATTTGGAAATTATTGTAAAAATTATCTTTGGACATTTGACATTGGAAGTTGGTCAAGGTCATTCATTTTGTGACCTTTAACATCCCTCAATTAAATAACCCGCTGTTGATTGTGACCTGTTTTATAATCTGTAAAGACTGGGCGACCTCAGCTGTCTGGATGACGGGTTGTATCGTCGTCGAAATCTGTTGCTGAATTTGTGGCTGAATCGGATTGATTGTAGTCTGCTGCAGTTGCGGTGGTGGTTGTTGGTGTGTTGGTGGTGGCTGCACCTGTTGTTGTTGTGGCTGTGATTGTTGTTGCTGTGTCTGCTGCTGCTGCTGCTGCTGTTGTTGTTGTTGTTGTTGTTGTTGTTGTTGTTGTTGTTGTTGTTGTTGTTGTTGTTGCTGTTGGGCAAGCGTTGCTAGGGTTGTAGCAGTCAGACCAGGGAGTAAAGGAATACCCTGTGGGAAAGAAATAATGACAAGTTACTATTCTCACAACAACTAAATAACTGAACATGTAAATAATCTCACAACTATGGTTATTGTATCTTTTATGAATAGAACAAGATAAGATTGAGAGAAAGTAGCCAGTACTTCTTGTAAAATAGCGATAGCAAACTTCAACTATTAAAATCCAAGATGGCTGCCTGTTTGTTTTTCCCATTTGTTTCAAAACAAGAGGCCCAGAGGGCCTGTATCACTCACCTGGATCTTTATGCCTAGCAATGGTATATTTGGCTATGGGATGGGGATCTCAATTATATTTAAGTTATGGCCCAGAAATCAAGTCCCATGGGCTAGGGGTGGGGCCAGACACAAGAGTCAATACAAATATCATGAATGTGTTGGTCTCTTGCAGCAATGATATGTATGGTTATGGTATAGAGATCTCGACCATTACAAAGTAATGACTCAGAAATCAAGTCCTCAGAGGTAGGGCCAGACCCCAGAGTCAATTCTTTCATCATGATTGTGTTTGCCTCTTGATGCCTTGCAATTGTATACATGGTTATAGGGTGGGGATCTCAATAATATCAAAGTTAAAATTTCCTTCTTCCCCCACCCCTCAGACCAAGAGGTCAACCTTTCAACTGATATGATTGCTACAACTACCAAAGAATGCTTCAAACCAAATATGGTTGATATTCATCACTCGGTCCAGAGAAGAATTCACTTTTAGCAATATGGCCAAATTACCTGTTTTTGGTAGCAATATCTTCAATTTATATAAAATTAAGTCCCCTTTGTCCAAAAACGCTATTCACCAAATTTGGTTCAAATACCTTCATTTATACAGAAGGCCATACCCTCCATTTATACAAAATTGAATTCCCCTTGCCTAATGTTTGTACCAAAAGAGAAGAATCTGTAAACATTTTCTCTGTGTTCTCCCTATTGGGCCCCGCCCCTCTGCCCCTGGTGGGAACCACAGCCTCTGTTTATACAGAATTGAATTCCCCTCACCCAAAGATGTTTTTGACAAATTTTGGTTAACAACCCTCCATTTGTACAGAAGGAGAAGAATTTTAAAGCATCTACCTCAATTTTTTCTCATCATGCTTCACACTTACTGATTATGTGTAGTGCTTACAAAATAATGTTATAATATAATGTGACCTACATGACTATGAATCACCAATGGCTGTAGCCATGACCTAACCTACCTGAATCTGAATCACCAATGGTTGTAGCCCTGACCTAACCTACCTGGTACCGAATCACCAATGGTTGTAGCTGTTACCTAACCTACCTGAATCTGAATCACCAATGGCTGTAGCCCTGACCTAATCTACCTGGTACTGAATCACCAATGGTTGTAGCCCTGACCTAGCCTACCTGATACCAAATCACCAATGGTTGTAGCTGTTACCTTACCTACCTGAATCTGAATCACCAATGTTTGTAGCCCTGACCTAATCTACCTGATACTGAATCACCAATGGTTGTAGCTGTTACCTTACCTACCTGATACTGAATCACCAATGGTTGTAGCCCTGACCTAATTTACCTGATACTGAATCACCAATGGTTGTAGCTGTTACCTTACCTACCTGATACTGAATCACCAATGGTTGTAGCCCTGACCTAACCTACCTGATACTGAATCACCAATGGTTGTAGCTGTTACCTAACCTACCTGATACTGAATCACCAATGGTTGTAGCTGTGACCTAACCTACCTGATACTGAATCACCAATGGTTGTAGCTGTTACCTAACCTACCTGATACTGAATCACCAATGGTTGTAGCTGTTACCTAACCTACCTGATACTGAATCACCAATGGTTGTAGCTGTGACCTAACCTACCTGATACTGAATCACCAATGGTTGTAGCTGTTACCTAACCTACCTGATACTGAATCACCAATGGTTGTAGCTGTGACCTAACCTACCTGATACTGAATCACCAATGGTTGTAGCTGTTACCTAACCTACCTGATACTGAATCACCAATGGTTGTAGCTGTGACCTAACCTACCTGATACTGAATCACCAATGGTTGTAGCTGTTACCTAACCTACCTGATACTGAATCACCAATGGTTGTAGCTGTGACCTAACCTACCTGATACTGAATCACCAATGGTTGTAGCTGTTACCTAACCTACCTGATACTGAATCACCAATGGTTGTAGCTGTTACCTAACCTACCTGATACTGAATCACCAATGGTTGTAGCTGTGACCTAACCTACCTGATACTGAATCACCAATGGTTGTAGCTGTTACCTAACCTACCTGATACTGAATCACCAATGGTTGTAGCTGTGACCTAACCTACCTGATACTGAATCACCAATGGTTGTAGCTGTTACCTAACCTACCTGATACTGAATCACCAATGGTTGTAGCTGTGACCTAACCTACCTGATACTGAATCACCAATGGTTGTAGCTGTTACCTAACCTACCTGATACTGAATCACCAATGGTTGTAGCTGTGACCTAACCTACCTGATACTGAATCACCAATGGTTGTAGCTGTTACCTAACCTACCTGATACTGAATCACCAATGGTTGTAGCTGTTACCTAACCTACCTGATACTGAATCACCAATGGTTGTAGCTGTGACCTAACCTACCTGATACTGAATCACCAATGGTTGTAGCTGTTACCTAACCTACCTGATACTGAATCACCAATGGTTGTAGCTGTGACCTAACCTACCTGATACTGAATCACCAATGGTTGTAGCTGTGACCTAACCTACCTGATACTGAATCACCAATGGTTGTAGCTGTTACCTAACCTACCTGATACTGAATCACCAATGGTTGTAGCTGTTACCTAACCTACCTGATACTGAATCACCAATGGTTGTAGCTGTGACCTAACCTACCTGATACTGAATCACCAATGGTTGTAGCTGTGACCTAACCTACCTGATACTGAATCACCAATGGTTGTAGCTGTTACCTAACCTACCTGATACTGAATCACCAATGGTTGTAGCTGTTACCTAACCTACCTGATACTGAATCACCAATGGTTGTAGCTGTGACCTAACCTACCTGATACTGAATCACCAATGGTTGTAGCTGTTACCTAACCTACCTGATACTGAATCACCAATGGTTGTAGCTGTTACCTAACCTACCTGATACTGAATCACCAATGGTTGTAGCTGTGACCTAACCTACCTGATACTGAATCACCAATGGTTGTAGCTGTTACCTAACCTACCTGATACTGAATCACCAATGGTTGTAGCTGTTACCTAACCTACCTGATACTGAATCACCAATGGTTGTAGCTGTGACCTAACCTACCTGATACTGAATCACCAATGGTTGTAGCTGTTACCTAACCTACCTGATACTGAATCACCAATGGTTGTAGCTGTGACCTAACCTACCTGATACTGAATCACCAATGGTTGTAGCTGTTACCTAACCTACCTGATACTGAATCACCAATGGTTGTAGCTGTTACCTAACCTACCTGATACTGAATCACCAATGGTTGTAGCTGTGACCTAACCTACCTGATACTGAATCACCAATGGTTGTAGCTGTTACCTAACCTACCTGATACTGAATCACCAATGGTTGTAGCTGTTACCTTACCTACCTGATACTGAATCACCAATGGTTGTAGCCCTGACCTAACCTACCTGATACTGAATCACCAATGGTTGTAGCTGTGACCTAACCTACCTGATACTGAATCACCAATGGTTGTAGCTGTTACCTAACCTACCTGATACTGAATCACCAATGGTTGTAGCTGTTACCTTACCTACCTGATACTGAATCACCAATGGTTGTAGCCCTGACCTAACCTACCTGATACTGAATCACCAATGGTTGTAGCTGTTACCTAACCTACCTGATACTGAATCACCAATGGTTGTAGCTGTTACCTAACCTACCTGATACTGAATCACCAATGGTTGTAGCTGTGACCTAACCTACCTGATACTGAATCACCAATGGTTGTAGCTGTTACCTAACCTACCTGATACTGAATCACCAATGGTTGTAGCTGTTACCTAACCTACCTGATACTGAATCACCAATGGTTGTAGCTGTGACCTAACCTACCTGATACTGAATCACCAATGGTTGTAGCTGTTACCTAACCTACCTGATACTGAATCACCAATGGTTGTAGCTGTTACCTAACCTACCTGATACTGAATCACCAATGGTTGTAGCTGTGACCTAACCTACCTGATACTGAATCACCAATGGTTGTAGCTGTTACCTAACCTACCTGATACTGAATCACCAATGGTTGTAGCTGTTACCTAACCTACCTGATACTGAATCACCAATGGTTGTAGCTGTGACCTAACCTACCTGATACTGAATCACCAATGGTTGTAGCTGTTACCTAACCTACCTGATACTGAATCACCAATGGTTGTAGCTGTTACCTTACCTACCTGATACTGAATCACCAATGGTTGTAGCCCTGACCTAACCTACCTGATACTGAATCACCAATGGTTGTAGCTGTTACCTAACCTACCTGATACTGAATCACCAATGGTTGTAGCTGTGACCTAACCTACCTGATACTGAATCACCAATGGTTGTAGCTGTTACCTAACCTACCTGATACTGAATCACCAATGGTTGTAGCTGTTACCTAACCTACCTGATACTGAATCACCAATGGTTGTAGCTGTGACCTAACCTACCTGATACTGAATCACCAATGGTTGTAGCTGTTACCTAACCTACCTGATACTGAATCACCAATGGTTGTAGCTGTTACCTAACCTACCTGATACTGAATCACCAATGGTTGTAGCTGTGACCTAACCTACCTGATACTGAATCACCAATGGTTGTAGCTGTTACCTAACCTACCTGATACTGAATCACCAATGGTTGTAGCTGTTACCTAACCTACCTGATACTGAATCACCAATGGTTGTAGCTGTGACCTAACCTACCTGATACTGAATCACCAATGGTTGTAGCTGTTACCTAACCTACCTGATACTGAATCACCAATGGTTGTAGCTGTTACCTAACCTACCTGATACTGAATCACCAATGGTTGTAGCCCTGACCTAACCTACCTGATACTGAATCACCAATGGTTGTAGCTGTTACCTAACCTACCTGATACTGAATCACCAATGGTTGTAGCTGTTACCTAACCTACCTGATACTGAATCACCAATGGTTGTAGCTGTAACCTAATCTACCTGGTACTGAATCACCAATGGTTGTAGCCCTGACCTAATCTACCTCGTATTGAATCACCAATGGTTGTAGCCCTGACCTAACCTACCTGATACCGAATCACCAATGGTTGTAGCTGTTACCTAACCTACCTAAATCTGAATCACCAATGTTTGTAGCCCTGACCTAATCTACCTGATACTGAATCACCTATGGTTGTAGCCCTGACCTAACCTACCTGGTACTGAATCACCAATGGTTGTAGCCCTGACCTAACCTACCTGATACTGAATCACCAATGGTTGTAGCTGTAACCTAACCTACCTGGTACTGAATCACCAATGGTTGTAGCCCTGACCTAACCTACCTGGTACTGAATCACCAATGGTTGTAGCTGTGACCTAACCTACCTGGTACTGAATCACCAATGGTTGTAGCCCTGACCTAATCTACCTGGTACTGATTCACCAATGGCTGTAGCCCTGACCTAATCTACCTGGTACTGAATCACCAATGGCTGTAGCCCTGACCTAATCTACCTGGTACTGAATCACCAATGGTTGTAGCTGTGACCTAATCTACCTGGTACTGAATCACCAATGGTTGTAGCTGTTACCTTACCTACCTGATACTGAATCACCAATGGTTGTAGCTGTTACCTTACCTACCTGATTCTGAATCACCAATGGCTGTAGCCCTGCTGCCAAGTGTGCTGGATTTACAAATACAATTTGCTGTGTGCCTGATAATCCTTGTATCGCCCCAGCAGTGAGCATGGGCGTGGCCTGTATTTGTGGGGTGGTTGCTACGGAGGTGGCCTGTTGGGTGACAACAGAGGCTGATGCCTGGCTAGTTTGGATCTGTTGTAACTGTAGTTGTTGTTGCTGAAGTTGTTGCTGGAGTTGTTGAAGTTGCTGTAAGTCCTGGGCGCCAAACTGCAGTCCAGGGTGGAGTGATGCTGATACTGGGATCTGTTACACATACAACATATGAACCAGCTTCATACATAAGAAATATTCCTGGATATCTAAAGGCTACCACTGCATCAGCTTAACTTGCAAGTATTCTCCTTTCTATATACAAAAAGAAGCAACCAAAAGGAATTTTTCTGGCTAAGAGTGTCTTCCTTCATCATTTTTTTCATATATTTGCTGTGATTAATTGGACACTTGTTTTGATGCAGTACATTTATAATTCATGAATGGCTGCTTGCAAAGTAAAGGTCCCCAGTTTAAACCCTGTAATTTTCAGTGATTTTTAAAGAAATCGTTCTTTTGAAAAGGATTTAGTTTGAATAATAGTGACAATGGTAATAAGACAGTCTAACTTGCTAGTACAAATATACTCAGTTTACCCTGAAGTCTAACTTGATGGTACATACCCAGTTTACCCTATAGTCTAACCTGGTGGTACCCAGTTTACCAATATAGTCTAACTTACTGGTAGCCAGCTTACTTCATAGTCTAACTTGCTAGTACATACCCATTTACCCTAAATTCTAACTTGCTAGTACATACCCGTTTACCTTAATGTCTAACTTGCTAGTACATTTTGTACATACCCGTTGACCCTAATGTCTAACTTGCTAGTACATACCTGTTTACCCAAATGTCTTACTTGCTAGTTCATACCCGTTTACCCTAATGTCTAACTTGCTAGTACATACCCATTTACCCTCAAGTCTAACTTGCAAGTACCCAGTTTACCCTATAGTCTAACTTGATGGTACCCAGTTTACCGCATAGTCTAACTTGCTGGTACCCAGTTTACCCTATAGTCTAACTTGCTGATACCCAGTTTACCCTATAGTCTAACTTGATGGTACCCAGTTTACCCTATAGTCTAACTTGATGGTACCCATTTTACCCTTAGGTCTAACTTGCTGATACCCAGTTTACCCTATAGTCTAATTTGCTGATACCCAGTTTACCCTATAGTCTAACTTGATGGTACCCAGTTTACCGCATAGTCTAACTTGCTGGTACCCAGTTTACCCTAAAGTCTAACTTGCTGGTACCCAGTTTACCGCATAGTCTAATTTGCTGATACCCAGTTTACCCTATAGTCTAACTTGCTGGTACCCAGTTTACCCTATAGTATAACTTGCTGGTACCCAGTTTATCCTATAGTCTAACTTGATGGTACCCAGTTTACCCTATAGTCTAACTTGATGGTACCCAGTTTACCCTATAGACTAACTTGCTGATACCGAGTTTACCCTGTAGTCTAACTTGCTGATACCCAGTTTACCCTATAGTCTAACTTGCTGGTACCCAGTTTACCCTATAGTCTAACTTGATGGTACACAGTTTACCCTATAGTCTAACTTGCTGGTACCCAGTTTACCCTATAGTCTAACTTGCTGATACCCAGTTTACCCTATAGTCTAACTTGATGGTACCCAGTTTATCCTTTAGTCTAACTTGATGGTACACAGTTTACCCTATAGTCTAACTTGATGGTACACAGTTTATCCTTTAGTCTAACTTGATGGTACACAGTTTACCCTATAGTCTAACTTGCTGATACCCAGTTTACCCTATAGTCTAACTTGATGGTACCCAGTTTACCCTATAGTCTAACTTGATGGTACCCAGTTTACCCTAAAGTCTAACTTGCTGTCTCTACAAAACAAAAGATCCTACAAGTGACATGTGCAAACCTGTGCATTTCATTTACATTGACTGAATCATACCTAGCTACTACATCTATAATATAGAGGTAGCAATTAACTTATATCTAATTACCGGTTCTAATAACTTACCATGGCAGGCTGTCCAAACTGATTCTGTATGAAGAAGCCCTGAGGTGCTGTGGCTATTTGAGGGGCTGCTGTGGCAAACTGTGGCAGTTGCTGTAGTAACTGGAGCTGCTGGGCAATCGTTGTAGCAGCAGTGCTTGTTGCCTTGAAACATAGATTAAACTTGGTCAACTAAAGCAATACCTTAAAGCTCAATGTTATCTTACTGAGGTAATAAAACATGGCATATGGAAAGCTTATTGGAAAGGGACTCTTTACATCCCATCCACAACAAGAAATCCCAGAGGGATCTTGGCACCCACCATCATACCATCTTCATTAGTTCTAGGTCAGTTCAATCTTTTTTCTCTTATCTGTTTGATCAGTTTGCCTGTCCCCCCATTAAATCTTTATGACATTTCCATGGTAACATGAATGTGTGGTGATAACATTACCTTTACATCAATCAGATTCATCAAACACTCTGACCACGCTAGATTTACTCTTGCACGATCGAAGGCCACTTACTGTTTTTGTGTGGGTATATATAGTCCCTCTGGCTACCCCCCAGTCACCTGTGTGGGTATTTGTAGTCCCTCTGGCTATTCCCCAGTCACCTGTGTGGGGATATGTAGTCCCTCTGGCTATCCCCCAAGTCACCTGTGTGGGTATATGTAGTCCCTCTGGCTATCCCCCCCGTCACCTGTGTGGGTGTATGTAGTGCCTCTGGCTATTCCCCCAGTCACCTGTTTGGGCGTATGCATGTAGTCCCTCTGGCTATCCCCCAGTCACCTGTGTGGGTGTATGTAGTCCCTCTGGCTATCTCCCATTCGCCTTTGTGGGTATATGTAGTCCCTCTGGCTATCCCCCAAGTCACCTGTGTGGGTATATGTAGTCCCTCTGGCTATCCCCCAGTCACCTATGTGGGTATATGTAGTCCCTCTGGCTATCCCCCAGTCACCTGTTTTGGCGTATGCATGTAGTCCCTCTGGCTATCCCCCCAGTCACCTGTGTGGGTGTATGTAGTCCCTCTTGCTATCCCCCAGTCACCTGTGTGGGTGTATGTAGTCCCTCTGGCTATCCCCTAGTCACCTGTGTGGGTATATGTAGTCCCTCTGGCTATCCCCCCAGACACCTGTTTGGGTATATGTAGTCTCTCTGGCTATCCCCCCAGTCACCCTTGTGGGTATATGTAGTCCCTTTGGCTATCCCCCAGTCACCTGTGTGGATATATGTAGTCCCTCTGGCTATCCCCCAGTCACCTGTGTGGATATATGTAGTCCCTCTGGCTATCCCCCAGTCACCTGTTTGGGTGTATGTAGTCCCTCTGGCTATCCCCCAGTCACCTGTTTGGGTGTATGTAGTCCCTCTGGCTATCCCCTAGTCACCTGTGTGGGTATATGTAGTCTCTCTGGCTATCCCCCAGTCACCTGATTGGGCGTATGCATGAGTCCCTCTGGCTATCCCCCCAGTCACCTGTGTGGGTGTATGTAGTCCCTCTGGCTATCCCCCAGTCACCTGTTTGGGCGTATGCATGAGTCCCTCTGGCTATCCCCCCAGTCACCTGTGTGGGTGTATGTAGTCCTTCTGGCTATCCCCCGGTCACCTGTGTGGATATATGTAGTCCCTCTGGCTATCCCCCAGTCACCTGTGTGGGTATATATATGTAGTCCCTCTGGCTATCCCCCAGTCACCTGTGTGGGTATATATATGTAGTCCCTCTGGCTATCCCCCAGTCACCTGTGTGGGTGTATGTAGTCCCTCTGGCTATCCCCCCCATCACCTGTGTGGATGTATGCATGTAGTCTCTCTGGCTATCCCCCAGTCACCTGTGTGGGTGGATGTAGTGCCTCTGGCTATTCCCCCAGTCACCTGTTTGGGCATATGCATGTAGTCCCTCTGGCTATCCCCCAGTTACCTGTGTGGGTGTATGCATGTAGTCCCTCTGGCTATCCCCCAGTCACCTGTTTGGGCGTAATCATGTAGTCCCTCTGGCTATCCCCCCAGTCACCTGTGTGGATATATATATGTAGTCCCTCTGGCTATCCCCCCAGTCACCTGTGTGGGTATATGTAGTCCCTTTGGCTATCCCCCAGTCACCTGTGTGGGTATATGTAGTCCCTCTGGCTATCCCCCCAGTCACCTGTGTGGGTATATGTAGTCCCTCTGGCTATCCCCCAGTCACCTGTGTGGGTATATGTAGTCCCTCTGGCTATCCCCCAGTCACCTGTGTGGGTATATGTAGTCCCTCTGGCTATCCCCCAGTCACCTGTGTGGGTATATGTAGTCCCTCTGGCTATCCCCCAGTCACCTGTGTGGGTATATGTAGTCCCTCTGGCTATCCCCCAGTCACCTGTGTGGGTATATGTAGTCCCTCTGGCTATCCCCCAGTCACCTGTGTGGGTATATGTAGTCCCTCTGGCTATCCCCCAGTCACCTGTGTGGGTATATGTAGTCCCTCTGGCTATCCCCCAGTCACCTGTGTGGGTATATGTAGTCCCTCTGGCTATCCCCCAGTCACCTGTGTGGGTATATGTAGTCCCTCTGGCTATCCCCCAGACACCTGTGTGGGTATATGTAGTCCCTCTGGCTATCCCCCAGTCCCCTGTGTGGGTATATGTAGTCCCTCTGGCTATCCCCCCAGCCACCTGTTTGGGTATATGTAGTGCCTCTGGCTATCTTCCAGTCACCTTGTGGGTGTATGTAGTCCCTCTGGCTATCCCCCCAGCCACCTGTTTGGGTATATGTAGTGCCTCTGGCTATCTCCCAGTCACCTTGTGGGTGTATGTAGCTACCCCCCAGTCACCTGTGTGGGTATATGTAGTCCCTCTGGCTATCCCCCCAGTCACCTGTTTGGGTATATGTAGTCCCTCTGGTTATCCCCCAGACACCTGTTTGGGTATATGTAGTCTCTCTGGCTATCTCCCATTCACCTGTGTGGGTGTATGTAGTCCCTCTGGCTATCCCCCCAGTCACCTGTTTGGGTATATGTAGTGCCTCTGGCTATCTCCCAGTCACCTTGTGGGTGTATGTAGTCCCTCTGGCTATCCCCCCAGTCACCTGTGTGGGTGTATGCATGTAGTTTCTCTGGCTATCCCGCCAGTCATCTGTGTGTGTATATGTAGTCCCTCTGGCTATCCCCCAGTCACCTGTGTGGGTGGATGGAGTGCCTCTGGCTATTCCCCCAGTCACCTGTTTGGGCATACCTGTGTGGGTGTATGTAGTCCCTCTGGCTATCCGCCCCATCACCTGTGTGGATGTATGCATGTAGTCTCTCTGGCTATCCCCCAGTCCCCTGTGTGGGTGGATGTAGTGCCTCTGGCTATTCCCCCAGTCACCTGTTTGGGCATACCTGTGTGGGTGTATGTAGTCCCTCTGGCTATCCGCCCCATCACCTGTGTGGATGTATGCATGTAGTCTCTCTGGCTATCTGTGTGGGTGTATGTAGTCCCTCTGGCTATCCCCCAGTCACCTGTGTGGGTGTATGTAGTCCCTCTGGCTATCCCCCCCATCACCTGTGTGGATGTATGCATGTAGTCTCTCTGGCTATCCCCCAGTCACCTGTGTGGGTGGATGTAGTGCCTCTGGCTATTCCCCCAGTCACCTGTTTGGGCATATGCATGTAGTCCCTCTGGCTATCCCCCAGTTACCTGTGTGGGTGTATGCATGTAGTCCCTCTGGCTATCCCCCAGTCACCTGTTTGGGCGTAATCATGTAGTCCCTCTGGCTATCCCCCCAGTCACCTGTGTGGATATATATATGTAGTCCCTCTGGCTATCCCCCCAGTCACCTGTGTGGGTGTCTGTAGTCCCTCTTCCTATCCCCCAGTCACCTGTGTGGATATATGTAGTCCCTCTGGCTACCCCCCAGTCACCTGTGTGGATATATATTCCCTCTGGCTATCCCCCAAGTCACCTGTGTGGGCATATGCATGTAGTCCCTCTGGCTACCCCCCAGGCGCCTGTGTGGGTATATGTAGACCCTTTGGCTATCCCCCAGTCACCTGTTTGGGCGTAATCATGTAGTCCCTCTGGCTATCCCCCAGTCACCTGTGTGGGTATATGTAGTACAGTACTATGGAAACTATCACATCATTATCGCCACAAAGCAAGCTACACGCCAAATATGATCAAGCTAATTGATCATGGTTTAAAATATTGCTAAGGACCCTTAATTATAATTACAAGTCTGTGCCCTTGACTGATTATGAGTTAATCAAGGTTCTTCATTTGAACAAACCAGATATCACATTTTCAGTCCAACTGTCTTAATTGTTATATCTTTTGCTTGGATCTGAAGATGTTGGAACAGCAAAAGTTGACAGGTCAAAATCTGGAGCAGATGCTAGGTGCACTTACACAACTCATTTTAATTTTAAAATAAAACATATCACAATGTTTAATTTGAGGCCTGGATCTGACCTAGACTTGGTCTTTTTCTTGTATACATTTATATATTTGTATTATAAACAATCCAATTAATATGAAGAACAATATATATCACAGATGAATGTTGTGGATCAAGTTATCACGACAATACTAGTACATTGGTTGCAGCTCTAGATCTGTGTATTAAACACGCCTGTGGGGAGAATCTAAATATTCATATTAATTACTGGCGACATAGGAAAAGGTGAATACATTTACATCTAACAAAATGGATTTGCATTTAAAGTAGGTTGATATGCAAATTGTGACAATAAGCATTACTGATTAGCATACAGTACATATATGTAGCATGGTGAGAGATATGTAACAAATGAATATTCATAACAGATCATTTACAATGATAGCTAGTGGCCACATGTGGATTCTATGTGACAAACAAAACAACAGTTCATCACAGTTTATATTCCTAGGTGCTGGTTTTACTGGGAAAAGGCAATTCACACTTGAATACATTAGTTATCCTCCATGACAAAACTAGGTTTATCTGACTAGCGTAGTCACAAAACTAGTTAAGCTAATAGTTATATACCCTGTTACTGTAGATACTATAAATATACCCTGTTAGTGTATTACATATATATACCCTGTTACTGTAGATGCTATAAATATACCCTGTTAGTGTAATATATATACCCTGTTACTGTAGTATATATACCCTGTAACTGTATTATATATACCCTGTGTCTGTAGTATATATACCCTGTTACTGTAGTATATATACCCTGTTACTGTAGTATATATACCCTATACCCTGTTACTGTAGTATATATACCCTGTTACTGTATTATATATACCCTGTAACTGTAGTATATATACCCTGTTACTATAGTATATATACCCTGTAACTGTGGTATATATACCCTGTTACTGTGGTATATATACCCTGTAACTGTAGTATATATACCCTGTAACTGTAGTATATATACCCTGTTACTGTAGTATATATACCCTGTTACTGTA